AATCATTACCGCGGATAATTCAATCCATCACGTTGAGAAAGAAGGAACGGTGGTCATCAAAGGAGATGATGGAAGCCCAATCACTCTCGAGAACGTTTACCATGTTCCTAGAGTAAAAAAGAATCTTCTCTCCGTGGTAAATGCGGTGGACTCAGGTAACTATGTTTTATTTGGCCCAAGGGATGTTAAATTCTTAAAAAATATCCAAGAGTTAAAGGCGGACGTGGTTCACACTGGAGCACGGGTGAAAGATTTATACGTTTTATCAGCGTCAAACTCTTATGTGGAGAAGATGAGCACCAACGATAATGTCTTTATATGGCATGCTAGGCTTGGTCACATAAATATGACTAAGCTCAAGGTTATGGTGAATAAAGATTTGGTGAACGGGCTCCCAAAGTTGAAGATCCAAGATGAAGGCACAATTTGTGAAGGATGTCAATATGGAAAGTCTCATAGGCTTCCATTTGACTATTCCACTTCAAGGTGCAGTTTTCCATTGGAGAGGGTTCACAGTGACTTGATGGGCCCGACAAGAACACCCTCATATTCCGGGTATCACTACATGTTGTTGTTCGTTGATGACTTCTCACGGTACACTTGGGTATACTTTGTGAAGGAAAAATCTGAAGTATTCTCCAAGTTTCTAGAATTTAAGGTTACCGTGGAAGGGGAGTTAGGTCAGAAGATCAAGACCTTAAGGACGGATAATGGAGGGGAGTTCATGTCTAAGGAGTTTCTCTCTTTTTGTCGAGATAATGGTATCAAGAGAGAATTTACATGTCCGCATACACCTCAGCAAAATGGAGTAGCAGAGAGGAAGATCAGACATCTAAGTGAGACGTGTAGAAGTTGGCTCCATGGCAAAGATTTGCCTAAGGCGTTATGGGCGAAAGGCATGAGATGTGCTGCCTATGTCATCAACCGGATGCCACTTAGTCCAAACAATATGAAATCTCCTTATGAGATGGTTCACGGGAAGAAGCCAACAGTGAAACATCTTAGGATATTTGGATCAGTCTGCTACGTCCATGTGTTTGATTCACAAAGAACTAAGTTGGAGGCAAAGGCGAAGAAATGCATATTTATCGGCTACGATGAACAAAGGAAGGGTTGGAGGTGTATGGATCCTGAGACACACAAGTATGTTGTGTCTCTTGATGTTGTCTTTGATGAAGTTTCTTCATACTACGGGCCACCTCAAGTCTTGGTTGAAAAAGATGGTGCGAGTTCCTCCAAGATCGATGAATCAACTCTCCAAGTACCATGTGAGAGTGGAAGTCCTGAAAATAAAATTCAAGGTGAAAGGGGGAGCACTAACCAAGAAGAAGAAGAGGAACAAGACCATGGTTCGATGGTCAATCAACGGCCGAAAAGAAACATTGTCAAGCCTGCAAGATATAGAGATGAAGAATTTATCACTACTTATTCATGCTTCTTCGCAGCTCCTTTAGATGATGATGAGCCATCTTCTTATGATGAAGCTAAAGGAGTTCAAGAATGGGAGGCTGCAATGAAGGAAGAGATGAGTGCTCTCAAGAAAAATGAAACTTGGGATCTAGTTCCAAAACCCAAGGATGTTGAGCCCGTTTCTTGCAAATGGGTTTATCGAATTAAGCGAAAAGCAGATGGGAGCATTGATAGGTTTAAAGCAAGGTTGGTTGCTCGGGGATTCTCTCAAAAGTATGGAGAAGATTATGATGAGACATTCAGTCCAGTGGCGAAGATGACTACGGTACGCTCACTCTTATCCTTAGCAGGAAGCTTTGGTTGGAAGTTATGGCAACTTGATGTGAAGAATGCCTTTCTATATGGTGAGCTTGATAAAAGTATCTTCATGGAGCAACCACCTGGTTTCGAATCACGAGAGCATCCTGATCATGTGTGCAAGCTGAAAAAGGCCTTGTACGGATTAAAACAAGCTCCACGAGCTTGGTATGGAAAGGTTGCTCAGTTCCTTCAATTTTGCGGCTATGAGGCATCAAATTCTGACCCGAGTCTATTCTTCAAGAAGAAAGGAGGAGTCCACGTAGTAGTTCTTCTTTACGTGGATGATATGATAATTACTGGGAATGATGATGCAGAAATTGCTCGCTTACAAGAAGACATGTCGATAAGGTTCGAGATGAAGAAGTTAGGTGAGCTGAATAACTTTCTTGGGCTAGAGGTTGAAAGAGTAAAGGATGGAATATTCGTTGGTCAACAAGGTTATGCAAGAAGGATTGTTGAGAAGTTCGGGGTGCACGAAGGAAAGATGCGCACTACTCCGATGGATGTGAACATCAAGCTCAGACGTGATGAAGGTTCATTGTTACCTGATGCTCGACCTTATTGCGCTCTTGTGGGAAGTCTTCTATACTTAACCATTACAAGACCTGATATTGCCTTCGCAGTAGGTCTTGTAAGTCGGTTTATGCAAGCACCAAGGAAGCCACACTTAGAAGCGGCAAAGAAGATCTTGAAGTATGTCAAGACAACTCTTGGCATGGGCTTGGTGTATAAGTACAATGCAAAGATTTCCCTTCATGGTTTTACAGATGCTGACTTTGGTGGAGATCTAGATGACCGAAAATCAACTTCGGGCTATGTGTTCTTATGTGGAGACACAAGCATTTCGTGGTGTAGCAAGAAACAACCAACGGTGTCGCTATCTACCACTGAAGCAGAGTATAAAGCTTCCACACTCGCGGCTCAAGAGTGTACATGGCTTCGAAGACTCTTTGAAGATTTGTTCGAGCCTATAAATAAACCGGTGGCTATCTACGGAGATAATCAAAGTGCTATCAAGTTAGCTAACAATCCGGTGTTTCATGCAAGGACAAAGCATATTGAGTTAGAACATCACTTCATAAGGGAGAAGGTTCTTGATGGGATAATTGAAGCCTTGGAAGTTCGAAGTGAGGACAACGTTGCGGACATCTTCACCAAGTCATTACCAAAAGGCCAATTCGAGTTACTTCGTTCGAAGCTCGGGATGGTTGACAAAATCAAGTTTAAGGGGGAGTATTGAAGTTAAACTTGATTTTGGGTTAAGCTTAATTATGGGTTTATAATTCAATATTCTATATTGGACAAAACCCAAAGTTAAGCTTAAGTTCTAGATTTCTCTAGAGAATCATAGAAAAATCATCACCTCCTTAAATGTTCTAGAGAATTCTATTAGATAGATATTTAGATAATTATGTAGAATAATCTAGAAGGTTGTAAGATAAAATCTAGATATTTTAGTAGAGTTTTAGAGATGATGGTAGAATAATCTAGAACTTTTGTAAACTATCTTTGGAGGCTATAAATACCTCCTCACCCCCTCATTTGTAACTAAGTTGAACAAGTGAATAAAAAGAAAGTTCAAATAAAAGAACACTCTTTAAAGTTCTCTAAGTCTCTCCAAAAGTTTTTCAAGTAATCTCTAATTGTTCTTCCAAATTTTCTATCATACTTAGAAGGTTTCTTATCTTGGTTATATCGAGTTTCTCGGGTATTACGGTCTTGGGCTAGTGCTAAGCACTATCGATTTTGGTTTCTTTACATATTTGTGGTGTTTTTGCATGTTAAATCTTTTGATAGTGACGTGACACTTGGTTTTGGTGACTCAACGTGCCCATTCTTGGGGTTGAAGACCAACGTGCCCATTCTTTCATTTACTTAGTGTCTTCTTCTTTTTGGCATTATTGGAATTTGATTTTTTTTTTTTTTTTTTTTTTTGGAATTTGATGTTTCACGTAGAGAAACTGACATCACATGCTTTTTTTTTTTTATGTTGTTGTTTAAGTCTTAAGTTTTTTTTACGCAGTTAATATATCTTAGAGAACGTAGCCTTTTCTATTTAGCTATTATTCGTTTAATAGTTATAGTTTGGATCTAAATTAGTATACCAGTACGTAGTATTATGTGTTTTAGACCGGTCGCCTTCCTCGATTCTAAACAATTACGAGCTAGTAGCTAAGCAAGTTCTAAAGTTCGTTTAAGGATCAACTTTTTGTATCCTATATTTAATATTAATGATCAAAATAGTTGAATGCCAAAATCCCTGTATTTCATTTAATATATAGTTTTTACCCAACTAGCTCTGGAAAATCCAATTCTATTCTTGTCTTTAGCAATCATAGATTTTTGGCTTTTTCCCTAGTTATTGAAATAAGAATTTACGATAAGAGATTAGATATTATCAAGCAAAGTTGTGTTTCTCTCGTACATTTCTCAAGGATCTTCCCGCAAGGGTTCTCTTGACTTGCCTAACGTTTCATAGTTAAAAAGTATTTCTCTATATATGATATACAAAAACTAAAATTAATCACGATCATGCATGATCTAACTATATCACGGAGAAAAAGAAACATGTGTCTTGGGTTTTCTTAATGAGTACTGATACTCCATTCTCTCTCTTTTCTCTCTCTTCTTCTAGGTGATTCTACAACCTTCTTCCACCGACTTTCCACCGCTTTCACTTCAACAAATATCAACATTGATAGCACACGAGGATAGCTCATTTTCTGTTACCGCTATGGTAGATTTAATTTTTTTTGGGTTTCTTTATAATAGCGGTGTATAAACGCTATGATAGAAATTTAATGAGCGGGAATCTAATATGACTTAATCCGCCAACACTTAATTCACTTTTCCGGTTGCTTTCTTACCGTCTTGATGCGGATTTCGTCTTCCGGTGACCTTGCCGGTATGTTGTTATCGTCTCTTGTTCGTTATTGGAATTAATTTCGACAAAATGGAGAAAGAATTATAGGAATCGTTACAAAATCTGAATCTAGGTTCAGAGCGGACTCCGTTGGAAAGATGTCAGCTGAAGCCAGGCGATCAAGAGACATCGACAATCGATTGTATCTTATTGTTAAAGCTTTAAATCCTCAATATCAGAAGCCAGTTGGGATCTAAGGAGCTCTTCCTAAAGCTTGGAGGTTAGACGGGAGAATTACATGTAGGATAAACGATGATAGCACAGTTCAATTTTTCTTCAAGGTAGAGCATCACCTTATATGGATTCTGGAAAACGGGCCATGGCATCATAATTTTGGATGGTTGCAGTTGATAGATGGACGAATCGCAATTTACCAACCTTCCTCTCCCAAATCTCCTTCTGGGTCAAAATTGTGTACATCCCAAAAGACTTCCGAACTGATTTGGTCATAAGGGAGGCAGCATGTGTTCTTGGCCATATAGATGAAACCAAAATTTTGGAGGCCACTGGAGATACTGAAGGAGAAGTCTGGGCTCATGTTAAAATGAATGTCTCTGCTCGGCTAATCTTTGTCAGATCCATTGAATTTGAGCCCGGAACACTGTCTGTCGTGATTCGTTTTATCTTCTCTAAGCTTCGCAAGTTCTGTTTTACATGTGAATCTTTATTATATGATGAATCGTGCTGTGATTATGGACCCCCAATTCTCCATCTCCAGAATCAAGCGATTAGGCGGGAGATTGAGCCGATGCAAGGGGTCAATCAAGAGGAAGATGAAGCCATGAATGAACAATCAGAATCATCAATCCCTATAATTGGCACTCTGCGACCAATGAATCCTCCTATCTTGAGACAAACTGATAGTATGTCAATTACTCTGGATGTACAACCTATAGCTATACGGGAGATTGGTGGAACATCTAGAGTCCCTCAGAGCCGCAAAAGACTAGATGTTCAGGTGGAATCTGATAGTGTCCATGCTATTAATGAAGAGGCTGAGAATTCAACACAAGCGCAACCCAATCTCCTAGCTGAAGTGGTAGGTCAGACTGACCAGATGTTAAGAGAAGAGTGGAAGAACTTAGCATAGAACAGATAGAGGTCATAAGAGAAAATGTGGTAGTCTTTTGGAAGAAGATCAAGCTTCAACCACTAAGCAAAGAAATAAAGGTGCTTTTCCAAACAAAGGGGAGGTGGCAACCCCTAAGCCACCATCGCCAAGATGAAGATATTGCACTGGAATTGTCAAGGGCTTAAGAGGAACCCCTTGACAATTTCATACCTAAAAGACATCAGGCAGTCTTCTAAACTTAATGTCATGTTCCCCGTTGAAACTAAAAACGGCTATGATTATGTGAATAGCTTAATTACAGAACTCGGATACACCCACAATTTTGTTGTAAATCAAGATGGGCTAAGTGGTAGAATGGCTATATATCTTTTGGAGTGATGATGTACACCTAGACTTTTTGGAGCCGCCGACTTTGGATTACTCTGATACATACATATCGGAATCATGTAATTCACCTACCTTTTGCCTTACCTATCTATATGGCAGTCCTGATCAAAACCAAAGAAATGCTCTCTGGAAGCGCATGACTTTTTTGGCAGCATCTAGTCTGTATAGAAGCAAACCCAGACTCGTTCTCGAAAACTTTAATGATATTAAAAGAAATGCAAAGAATTGCTCAAAAAATGGAAAGCTGGTATTCTCAATTTCTTTCTCATGCAGGAAAAGAAGTGCTTATCAAGGCGGTTGCAACCTCTCTTCCATCTTACTGTATGTTATGCTTTCTTCTCCCTATGAAGCTCCTTAACTAGATCACTTCAACAATTCGGAGATTCTGGTGGTCCAATGCTAAAGATCGTCAGAAAATTTCATGGATAGCCTGAAAAAAATCAATAATCCAAAAAAGATGGGAGGCCTTGGTATGAGGGATATAAAGTACTTCAATGTTGCGTTGCTTGCTAAACAAAGTTGGAGACTTATGCATCATCCACAATCTCTACTGGTAAGGCTCTATAAAGCAAAATATTACCCTAAATCAAGTCTCCTTGAAGTGGGTACTAAATGGAGATCTAGTCATGCCTGGAAGAGTATCTTACAAGGTAACCAATTAATTGCTATTGGTGCTAAATGGATTATTGGTAATGGGCAGCATGTGAATATTTGGCATGATAATTAGCTTCTATCTATAGGCCTGCCAAACCGAATCCCAATATTACATTTGGACCTAAACTAGTCAATGACCTTTTCACCCCAATTAATGGTAGATGAAATGATGAGATGATTGATTATTATATTTGTTCTGAAGATAGGAATTTAATTAGAAGTATCATGCCATCTACTACAGCTGCAGCCGATAGTATCTCTTGGATCTATACTAAGGATGGTAATTATTCTGTTAAATCGGGATACAATTTGTTGCGTCAACAATCCAGTCAGCCAAATACTAATCTTGGCCTTGTTAATCCGCAGAAATCTTTTACTCAAATTTGGAATTTCAATGTAGAGCCTAAGATTAAGCATTTCTGGTGGAAATTTTTGCATAATGTCCTTCCTGTTGCAGATAATTTGAAGAAGAGGAAGCTGAGGATTGATAACACTTGTCAAATATGTGGAGAATGTCCTGAAACAGTTAACCATCTGCTGTTTCAATGTAAACTAAGCAAAGAAATATGGGAATTAGCTCCTATATCAGCTCCCCCAGGTGATTTCTTTAACACTCATTCCTTTTCTGAAAATATGGAAATGATGGTAAAGCTCAATGCTCATCAAGGAAATGCTATGAATTTATTCTCTGTACTTGGATGGAGATATTGAAAGCTGAAAAATGCTTTAGTTTTTGAGAACAAACGATGGTCCAATACCAGCTTGTTGCGTTGAGATCTGGGATGGACCATGTATGACAAGAGAGCGCATCTCATTGTTAAAGGTTCTGCAGCCGTCAATCCATCTGCCTCCCCATTGGAAGTTGAAACAGAGGCTTTAAGAATGGCTATCATGCAAATTAAAAACCTTGGCTATATTCATGTCACTTTCTTTGGGGACTCTGCAGCCATTTATGAATCTCTTGAGGAAAAAACATCTATATCTCATCCCAGCTGGTGGTCTAACTCAGCGATATCTATTTATTTGAGAGACATTTTGAATGTGACCTGAATCAATGGACCTTACAATTTTATGCAGATCTCAGGAAGAGCTAATGACGTAGCTGATATTTTAGGTAAATGTGCAAGAGTTAAAAAAACAATGCTATGTAATTTTTTGGAATATTTTACTCTGATGTTTAATACAAAATTTGAATTGATGACAAAATAAAAATAAATAATAATGAGTACTGAACGATTGCTTACATAAATAATATAAATTCAGAATCAGACAAGATTCGTTTGCTGAACGATTTTATCTAAATTTAGTCCATACCTGCACAATAATTAATCATGTCGTGAGCAATAATGCGTAGCGTCATGAAATAAAATAAAATATTAATAAGTGACTCATTTTTTTCTTGCTCTTTTTTTTTTTTTTGTGGTGTGCACCGACCTTTGTTAAATATGTATAACAAGAATAAATAAGAACAACCAAGCAAGGCTCAGTTTCTCAGAAACTACTCAAAGATGGGTTCCTTCGACTTGCCTCACAGTTCATCGTTCAAGGTTCTTTCTCAAATTTGATTTTTGAAGGAGAAATTTTTTTGTTACGACTATAATATATATATAACTAGAAAGCTGCCCACGCGATGCGTGGGTTATATATTTAATATTAATCCTGAATAATAATGAAATTTGTATTAAAGTAATACGTTCGATTATTAATATAGTTTTTTGAAAAGAATTTTTAAAAATATTAACTTTTATGTTCAGTTTCGAAGTATTTTTGTGAATTGCTAAAAAATAAATTATGCTCTTTTTTTATTCAAGATGGTATGACATCAATATATACCACTACTTTTTCTTAATTTACATAAAATATTTTATTGTGGAAATATATATATCATACCTCATCGTACAGTCTCTTATTTGTTGATTCATGATCCTTGGATCGGGAAAACGATCAAAATCAACTCCAACTATTTCTATGCGGCTTTTTTCATCCCAAACTCTGACCCCCTGAACTTATCAACCCGAACTCATACAATTTTAAAAAAACAAACCTAAACTATCTAACCGTTATCCAATTTCAACACAGTTTTTTTTTTGTATTTGTTAATGTCGATTAGAATTGTTAAGTCGTAACTATCTGTTCTTTTGTATCTGAATCATTCCTTTTATTCAATTGGCTAAAAGTTAAATAATTCAGGTTTGTTACATTATTTAATAACATGTATATGTTAAAATTGGCTAACGATTACATAGTTCAGGTTTGTTATTTGAAATTTATGTGGGTTCGAGTTGATAATTGGGGTTGATATTGGCCGTTTTCCCTCGTTGGATCTCATCAGAAGGTAGATCTTCCTGACCTCATGAATTTCCCTTGACAATAAGCTTTAGATATTATATCCGTATAATCCATAATAAAATTAGGAGATCAAAGGTAAAACATAATCATATTTATTATTTTTTTTGCTAAATTTTATCTACATATGTTAAAAATTAAAGAAAAATTTAAATAATTTGTGATAATGATTAAATTTAATAAAATAGCAAGGTGGTCCAAATGAGCAAAAACATATTTTATATATGTTAATCTGGTTTTTTCACATCTCTCTCTCGCTTCCGACTCAGCATAGCTAGTCAAAGCTTTAAAATCGGAGCTTCAACACAAGGAGCTTCATGGGATTCTTTTCTATATCCTGAATTTATCTTCTACCTTTGATATTATTTCGTTTAGTTTCATTCCCCGTTTGCAGAACTCAAATGCCGATTCATTGGTAAAACAGTCTCTGGTTTCTCTTGTAATGGGCCTGACCCAAACCTAATTTAAATTGAATTAGCCTATGCACAAAAAACAAATATATATTGTACACTTAATTATAATCATATTTAATTTAGGAAAATGACTTCAGATGATATAATAAAAAATTTATCTTTGAAATTTTATATTAAAAAAATTTAGTTCAGTTTTGATATATATATAAAAATTCAATTGTTTGAAAAAAAAAATGTCATTTTATAAACTTTTTATATATATATATATATATATATATATAGGTCATAACTCATAAGAGTACAAAAATTTAATAAATATAATGTAATGTCGTTTATCTAAATACTTTAATGGCATGTTAGGTTTTAACTGAATTAGTCAATTATGATATTCTATGCAATTACCCTTACCAAACATAATTCTTTTCAAAAATCCCATGAGGATAGATTAAAAAAAAAACCTTTGGTGGAACTTTTTAAATTTTTTGGTTGAATTTCATTGGGTTGGTTTTATGGAAACTTTGATAAAAATAAATACAAATTTTATATTCTTTCATTGATCTTTATTTCTTACTTAATTTGTATGATTGACTAAAAAAAATTGAATTCAAAACATAATCAAGTCAAATGTTATACAATATTAAAAATAAAATAAAAAAACTATTTACTCGAGATATATGAAACTCAAACGTCGATCCCTCTCAAACGTTGAGTAATTATGTAAAAGAAATAAAGAATGGCATAAACTATCAAATAAAGAATGACTCATGATCCCATGAGTTTTACGTATTCAAGAACAAAATCATCTTGAAACAACTTTACGTATTCATAAATTTGAAAACAAACTCTTAACTTTTTGATAAGTGATGTTGAGAATAATTACATAAATGGTTTTTCAATTTATATCATAAATATTTTAACAAACTTATGGTTTTCAAATTTATGAATACATATAGATCATAAGAGTAAAAAATTTAATAAATATAATGTAATGCCATTTATCTAAATACTTAAATTTATAATTACACTTTAACTGACCATAATAATAGATATAAATTTTCTCAATGTATGTATATAAATCTTATTGGTGAGTTGAAAAATAGAGAAACAATTAAAAATAGAACTTTTAAAAAAAATAGAACACTTTTATGTAGAACTAATGGTGTTGGTGAACCTAACTTGAACACCATATGAAATCACAAACCTAACTTGAACACCAAATGAGAAAACTTTTGTAGATATTTTTACTATGTGGACGATAGCCTGAAATAAAGAGAAAACAACTAAAAGTCAATAAAAATAAAAGAATGGACTGGAAAAAGCAAAAACTCTACAATAGTTTTTTTAGCTTGACATGTGGGTAATATATAGAAGTAGATTAATTGGAGTCAATATTTAGAGTATTAATTTACACTCTAAAATTAATTAGATTTAATGTTTTGAATTAATTGGAGTTATTGTGGTTATCTGTTAGCCCTAATGCATCAATTTAGAGTTATTTGACGTTACATATGTTTTAATAAGTTCATTTGTGGGTTTTACTTTGGGTAACTAATTCCAGAACAAAAATAAAAACACTAATACTCCCTCCGTTTCACAAAAAGTGTCGTTTTAAGGTTTTATTTTTGTTTCACAAAGAGTGTTGTTTTAGGTTTTCAATGCAAAATTTAATGATTTTTTATGTTTTATGACTATTAGTATTCTGCAGATTATTTTACTATTGGGCAGATTGTGTTTAAGTATATAGGTAATGATGTTTTTGTTTAGAAAAAACAAAAAATTTAATGTTTTCTTAATCTGTGTGCAAAACTCTAAAACGACACTCTTTGTGAAACAGAGGGAGTATATTTCGGTATTAGAAGCCACATGTAAAGCGTTACTGGAGAAAAAAACTCGTCGCAAATATTTATTTTGAGAGAAGGCGTAACACATGGAGCAATACATTAATATAATGCACGTTACTATATTTCTTTATTAAAATTACATTAACTGTTACATAAGTTAGAATTTCATTTACTGAGACATTTTTTTTTGTCAACAGCTTAAATAAAATAGATGCTCAAAAGAGCCATTCCTGGGGAATGTTGTTTACATAAGTGATATGATGCGGTTCGGTACGAATTTTTCGTGCCAAATTATCCGCTTTTACATTTGCGCTACGCGGGATTAAAGATAAAGAAAAATTAGAGAATTCTTCCTTGTCACTCTTCAAATCTTCCAAATACACTGAGAAGGCCGGCCATTCGGTTGGGGAAGATACCATCTTCACCAAATCTGAACAGTCTGTAAAGAAAGCTACATCTTGGTTGTCAGCACCAATCATACACTTCATCGCCCAGAGTAGAGCTTCGACTTCTGTATGTAGGGGGGATAGACTTCGCCGGATGTTTGCAGCTCCCATGGTTGGCATTTCTCCATTTGCCGATGTACAGTATCACCCTGTTCCTGAAAAAATATCTGTCCTTTTCCATGATCCATCCACGAAACACCGATGTCCGGAGTAACTGGAATCCAATGAAATCTCTCTCACGCGATTTCGAGTTACAATATCTAAAGAACCTTGGTTGTCAATATGTAGCTCAGATTGAGCAACCTGCCAAACTTGTGCCTCTTTCTCCGCTAAATGTAGAACCTCTAATGGGTCTTTATCCACATTATCAAAAATCTTCTCGTTTCTCGCTTTCCAAATATACCAAATTATCCATGGAAATGAAGATGAATCAATCTATAATGGAATTCTCCAGAAAAGATGATCCAAGTTCGCGTAAATAGAAGCCGAGGGAAAAATCCCTGTAACCGAAGGGATGGGAGAAAGAGCCCAGATTTGTCTTGCAGGATGACATTCAAAAAGTGTGTGATTAATTGTTTCCTCCGCAGCGCCACATCTAACACATCCGGTGTCACAATTTATACCTCTCTTTCTCAGATTCTCTGTAACAGGGACGCAACCTGATAATATTTACTGAGACATTTATAAAACAATATACAGTAAAATCTCTATAAATTAATAATGTTGGGACCAACTCGGAAAAAAATTATTATCTTATTAATTTATCGATTTATGTCATATTTTACACTGGTCCTAACTCGGAACCTAAAGAATTTATTAATTTAGAGAGGTTATTAATGTATAGAGTATTAATTTATAGAGGTTTTAAATAATTTAATAATAAATTAATAATACATTAATAATAAATTAATAATACATTAATAATTCCTGTAAATTATATTATACTATATAAATACATTAAATGTATTGTGTAATAAAAATTGTAGATAAATACTCCAACTTGGAGTTGTAACAGGTGAGAATAAATTGGTGTTATAAATGTTTTTATAAAAAAGTTAGATTGGAAAGAAGAAAAAAAAGAGACAAATTAGAAAAGATTTGAAATGTATTTTATGGAGATATGAAAATATTATGTAAGATAGAAAAATGAGGAAAACAATTAAATGTAAAAATAGATGCCAAATGTACTAATGTTATGAGAAGTTTTAAAAATGTACTAATATTTTGTGAAGTTAAAATTTTACTGATCCATAATTTTGAATCAGATGAATAAGTGGTGATTAAGTAGATAATAATTTTGGCAAAACAAATTAGATACAAATTTCAATTTAAATACATGTCAAATGTATCAATAGGATAAGAGAAATATCTTTTTTGGAATTAAATTGTAGGTACAAACTTTCAAAACTAAGGATTTTAAATAAATTAAAACAAACATTAATGAAATGAAAGAGGACACATGTCACCAAAAGAGAGTGCCAAATGTCGCAATGGTAGGAAAAGTTAGAAGAAAACCTTCTCATATTATATAAGACTAGATGAATTCCCACGCTACGCGTGGGTTTGTTTTGAAAATTGTTAAGATAAAAATATGTTAATTTTTTTGTCGCTAATTTCTGTTTATTTTTTTGTTTGTTATTGTATAGTTAATAAAATTAGACTCATCTTATGTACTTACAATTTTTATTGTTAGATTCGTTTTTTACTCTAAATATCAATTTATACATTTTCATGCATAATCTGATTATTTTATATATCTAAGATTCTAATATTTGTTCACTATCATAAATACACACAATAAGAATATTAGATATCTTGATCTCAAGAATTTTCGTTTGAAAAGAAGAAAAAGATAGCAAAAATTAAAGAGTTATTTAAATAACACTTTTAGATTTTATGCTATTGCATATAGCCATATAAGAGAAATGAATTTGTTTTGAATTTCATGGTATGTCTAACGTCTCAAAAGCTCAGTACTTGAAAAAATTTGCATGTCAATGTTACGAACTTACCTTAAGACACAAAAATGAAAAGAGAGAATGTGATATGATAATATATGAACCATAACGTAATAATAAGAAAATATTCAAGGTAAAATTACTAAATAATAAGATATTAGGTAGCAAACAACTAAACTACAACACAAATAATTATTTAGTCATTATCGAGACATGACCATTGACCATTAAATTAAAAAAAATAAAAAAAAATAATAAAAGTAAAATAAAAGTAGTAATTGATTTATTAAAATAATTTTATAATTTTATTTTTATTTTGAAGAAATCATTTAAGAAAGAGATTAATGGAGGATTAACACAATGGGAGACTTTTGATTGTTCCTCAATTAATTTTGCTGATTTTTAATTTAAATAATGTTGAATGACACATGTCATTTTCTTGTGTGATGATGTGGCACTCATATGGAGAGAGTTGGCCAACTTTCATATATATGATTTGTATGTCACAGGGAGGAAGTGAAATATTTCTTCGGAATGTGTTCGAGAATATACTGAAAACGTACCTAAGGAAGAACCCGACGGCGAAGACGATATGGGAACTGGTTCAGTCGTTGGACAACGAAAAGATCTGCTACGACCACTTCACTTTCAGGACACTAAAGGTAAGAATTTTACTCTTCAAGATTTGGTGAAACTAATTGTGTAAAAAAATGTTTCTCTTTTTCCTTTCTTTTTTGGGGTATGAGTTTAGGTCGATGGTTATGGAATAGACTCCTTGTCGAGTTTTTTCATGGATTATGGATATAAAATTGGAGGTGGACTTGATTTTCCAAATAAAAAACTACGAATTCTTTGGTTTTCTCCTCCCGATGTTCACGTCCCTAATGACGGTCACGGTCTAGGCAACGGCCCTTTGCCACGACTTGTTATAGCTGAGGTTCTTGTGGACGAACTAAGCCATGAATCACAGGTATGATTGATCGCAAACACAAATTTTTTTATTATGTGTGTTTAACGTATCTAATTTAGCCTTTGTTGGTTTTAGGGGATAATAAGGAAGTATTTGAAACCAGAAGGTGGCAAGCAAGCGGTTCTTTCTAGTATTTTGGGGTCTTTAATATGGGAGAAGCCTACATGGACCGACTTCAAGCAACTTGCCAAGTACTCCATATATATTAACTTTCCAATTAATAATCATATCTTTATTGTTAAATTTTTTAGAAAAATAATTTATTCTATTCGTTTTAGTAAAAAAATTTGTGGATCTACACTTTTCGCAAACCGGTACTAGAGACTATCAAAACTTTTCTATTTGTTCATCGAAATTTGTTCGTAATATGTTTTAGTCTATGGGAAATTGTCCATCAAAATCTAACACCTAATTGTAAATAGAGTAATTTATTTTAAAATTAATACTCTTACACGAACTGGTACATATACTTTACAAACAAATTATTATTAAATAAGATTTTGGGTGATAGGTTTGATGATATTAAGGACAAGTTTTGATGGACAAGTATAAAAAAATGGTAGTTTCTAACAAAGCTTTGAGAAAATGATAGATCAACTTTTAAACAAAAAAAATTGATAGATGAATTTTTCTAAAAAGTTTTATAAAAAGAAGAAGTAAGAATTGAGTTTTGTTTGTGATTTTTTTTGTTTTTTTTTTAATTTTAGATTATAACTATTTTAATGGTTAGAGCTAATTTAGTTTGATATTGTATGTATGAACAATAAAGAGAAAGCGAATTTGCGGCATGGACGCTTATCCACGGCTACACAATGAATCATCTTGATTTTGCGGTTCATCGATTCAAACATCGTTTCAGTGATATCAAATTCGTCAAACAACATCTTGAGGAAAAGGGATTCAAACTCAACAGCGACGGAGAAATCCTCAAAGGTTTTTTTACATATTCCCTTCATGAGATATTTCATTGAAATGGTTCTATTTTATATACATTGTTTAATCGAAATGAATGTGGACATACATATTTCAGTGAGTCAAGATGGTCTACTATTTCAAGTTTCATCGATCTCGGAAAGGCTTCCGGCAACATTTGCAGATGGAGTAACTGAAATAATCCCAGCTTCGTACATTGAGTTCACTCAACGTCAAGTTCTTCCAGAGTTCAAAGATGTGCCGCATGATGAGGTAATGTAAAGAAAGAAAGAAATAAATAAACGATTCGCCTTTTTTTGCATTACTTTGTTATTCAGCATTTTTTTCATTGCCACTGTGATGCAGATCAAAGAATTTCATAGACGTGAAGCTTTTGAACTCGATAACGCCAACCACGTAATGAAAGGCACCCGTTTCACAACCAAATTCTAGAGCCAGACTTTTCTTGCTCGACTAAATATGTCAAATTTGTGTCACTATATATGTGTGTTTGTGTGCAATCTTTTATATATATGCGTGATGTGTTTTTGCGATATCTTTATGTTGTTATGTTACTGTGAAGTGACAATTACTTAAAACATTTATATTATCTCTCATGATGGTTATTGTTGATAAGAGTGACCAACTCCGTAAAATGGATCACATTATTGACGAATCATGGGAAATAAAATGTATTGTTCCGGATGTTTTTGTCAATGAGACGGATTAGAAATTTAGAAGTTGTGCAGAGATAGCGGATATCCCATGACGCCGACATGGTATTGGCGCTATTTTCCAAAATCGCCTCTGATCTCGCACATGACAGGTATCACCGACCGTATCATGAAGTGTTTCTTGTATAAAGGCAAAAAAAAGGATCTAAAAGACGACTAATGTTATTTATGTTATAAATAATAACTATATATATACATCTATATATGTTTGATGTATATTTGTTAAAAGAGAGACGTAGAGATTGAATGAAGATGGAGAGAATCTTAAGTTATTCACGAGAGAGAGATGGAGTGGAACAGAGGAGAGACTCATTCATTCCTTCTCATCAAAGGACTACATATATATAGTTTAAGTAACTTGGGGCCAAAGCTAAAGAAGATAAGTCACAAATAGAATAAAGATAAACTCTAGTTACTCAGGGAGAAAGTATTAGAAATGGATAATCATCAACCAATGGATAATTGTCTAATTATCCAATAATTTCTAACACTCCCCCTTGATTATCCATCATCATTAATGTAATACGTACTGTCTCGTTAAAATCTTATCATGGAAAAACCCAGTGGGATAAAAACCATGATAAGGAAAAAAGAGTACAGTGATGCAATCTCCCCCTGTAATAGACGAGTCTTGTTCTCTCCATAGCTTTCATAGATGACTCGGTCATTCTTTGCGCTTCTTCTGATCTCGTCAATATATAACAAAGATTTTGGCAGAGAGATAGACTTTCACTTTGATGTCTATCTTTTGCGTGTTATTTGCTGCCTCGTTAAAAATCTTGTCATGAAAAAACCCAGTGGGATAAAAACCATGATAAGGAAAAAAGAGTGCAGCCACGCTCATCATCATATTTCTCCTCCTGGAAGCATCATCTTCAAAAGATGCATTTTGAATGATGTAGCAGGACACACCTTTGAACTAAAACTGCTACATTGTTACTTGGGCGGATGTATTGGACATCAACTTCTTGCTTCTTCTCAGATTCTTGAGTGCATGAGAAGAATATTGGGGAAATATGTCTTGTCATCTAGCTTTTGACATATCTTTCTTTGAGTTGGGAAACATATGTAACAATGTCTTGTTGTTGGCTCTTCACTGGTGCATATATTTCTTGTTACTTGTATATGTTCAAGGCATCAATCTGAGCCATACAGATTCTCGACATGCTTCATGGAGCGCAGTAATTTTGGCATGGCTTGAGCAAGCGGCGGCCAAAATTTGTTGTTGGAAACGCCACGTAGTTGTTGTTTTGCGATATATATTCATATAGATCATCCATCTGCAAAACCAACTAAACCAAACTCGGGGTTTCTAGAATAAAATAAACCCAAGTCAATCGTACCTTGCAGCGATAATGGAAGACACATTTGAACTCATTCAAAGGTCTTGTCGGAGAAAATGAATTAATCCTGCAAGTAGATCAGTAGCAAATGCTAGGTATAATATATTCACTAGATATATAAATGCTCGTCAGCATTTATATATGCTAGCTACAATTCACAAAATATATAAATACTCGTCAGCATTTATATATAGTGCTTCATGATCAAACTATATAGAGTCGACTTCCTTTAGAAGTGACTAATATAACATCTCTTTCTTTAGATGTTTAGTTGGAATATCTGGAGACACTTTTGTCTTTCCAAGATCTTTTATTCCAAATAACTCTTTAAGAGTTTTGATGATGTTCAAAAACATCATGCTTATAAGTTCCCGGGAATATATCTTTCAGGGATTAGTCCTACACACATCCCATGAGACGCAATTCAAGTCATTTATTTATCAGCTCAATATCGAGTGATTTTGACAAAACACGGCGCGACACACCGTCTTGTCTTAAGTAGCATAATACTCTTTTGATGCTTGGACCATGTGTCCAGGAAGTACTCGTTTCTTATACGAGATTAATATAGACTTGGCTGCGTCTTTGTTTATTGGCCAATATATATCTCTTTACGCTCACAGAGCGGAGATTTATGATCCTCATTTTTCACATTTGTGCGCTAGATCATTTTTATTGTCGACATTATGTTGTCTTTGGTTCCATATTTGCCGTAATGACATGGTTAATCGAGATCTCTTAATCATTACAAATGATTTTATTTAGGTACCTGATTTCGCTATTAACCATGGCAATCGGTCTCTTTACTCTTCTTGAAGAGTCTTTTTGCTCCTTTCTAGGAGTCTATATGCTCCTCTTTTTAAGAGTTTAATCCTCTTTTTAGTAATAATATGCTCCTTTTTTATTTTCGAGGATTTTCTTTATATTTAGAACCAAAGTTGTCTATCACGTTTTTATCGTGTTATAGACAATAATATGCCATCCGCCAGAGACATATTTTTGTAGAGCATTTTTAGCTGGGACAAGAGATTTTCTATGAACTTTATGTTCATATGCATTTATACGAGGATCAATAATTTCATGAAATCTCATCCATCAGCTTTTTGAATTTGATTTGCAATTTATTATGAATAGTGATCTATTTGAACTTTTGAACTCTTAAGTTCATATTTATTATAGTCATTTGTTCAAAGATCTGAACTATTCAACGATTCTCCCATAATGATGGGGAACTTTATCATCAACATGATGATTTGCAAATCTTGCAAGAGGCACATCTCGCATAAGATGGCTCAATATTTATAGAGCAGAGATTTATCTCCTGCATCTATATATTTCATCCTTTTTAGATGATATTTTTATGCGGTGCAGAGGAGCATTTATAACATATATCTCACACCCATAAAATTCAAAAATGAGAAATATTTGATCTCCAATCATGTATATAAAACATGGAGAAATATTTCTTATAAATCATTGGCCTTGTATATAATCATTAATACATGCAAAACTGCATGCTCCATGTAAAAACATGGAGATTAAATCACCATGAATCGTTTTGTAATCTCTTGGATTTGCGTTATGAACGATTCGCTTAAAGCTCATTTTGAGAGTGAACATCATTTTGAGATGTTCCATTTTATCAAAAAGTGATAAATTTTAGGATATGACTTCACCAAAGTTATTTCGCTCTAGGGTGTCAAACTCACCAAAATTTATCGACTTCTTGTCGATGTGGGATTCCTCTAATTCTCCCCCTCGAGATAATAACTCTTCGAGTTCATTCATCTCGAAATGAATCCCACTTTAGGATCAATAACATATCCGATACGGATTATGTATTTAATCTTAGATCCTTATAAAAATGTGGGACTTGTAATACCCCTTCTCAAGATGATGGCTTTTCAAGCCTATTTATCTTGGACCGAATCTTATTTTTATAGATCGGTTATATTCGGGGCTTAATTTGGGGATTATTGAAGAAATCAACTAACATATACAATGAGTTTATCAAAGAAAAATGGTGATTTGGCTAAAGACCATATAATTCTGGAGGCTTAGCCTACTACAGAGTTAAGGAGAAGGTATATAACCTTCAACTCCTTATATAATATAAAATTTAAATAAATTTAAATAAATTCAACATAAATGAAGTGTTACCTCTGAAATGTGGATGGAAGCATGATGTGCTTGAATAAACTTCTCTTTCTTTACATAAAATTTTAGTGATATTTAATCACTCTTTTTAAGTTCCAAATATTTAGGTCATCAATATATACAAAAATGATCACAAATCTCAAAAGAGATTTCTTAATAAAGACGCAAGGGCATATTTTATTTAATATACCCTTTGTTTAATAAATAATCGCTCAAACGATTACACCACATGCGTCTGGATTATTTTAATCCGTAAAGTGATCGCTATAATTTGACCGTACATATTTCATTAGACGTTCAGTCTAATGGCTTAGGAACTTTAAATCCTTATAGGATTTTCATGTATATATTATTATCCAGTGATCCATATAAATATAATGTCACTACATTCATAAGGTACATTTCTAAATTATAAGAGACCGTTAGACTCGTTAAGTACCTGAATGTAATTGCATCTATGACCGGAGAATATGTTTTTTCATAATTAACTCCAAGTCTTTGAGAAAAACCTTGTGTAACAAGTCGGGCTTTATATCGTGTGATTTCATCTTTTTGACACGAATACCCACTTGCACGCAACAAGTTTTAATCTTTAGATGTAGTGACAAGAGATCTAAAGACATCTCTTTTATCAAGGGAGAGCAATTCAATACATTGCACCCTTTTTTTTTTTTCAATCAGACCGGTTATGAACCTTGGATCTGGATCATCATTATTAATTGCTTTGTTATACCGGAATGGCTTGACCGGTTATACTATATTATAGCAATTAGCAAACCTCTGTTTACTATCATAAATATTTTGTCATCTTTATTTTTTGCATGATATAATCATACATTTGCGTGTCTCCATTGTGGTCGGATATTCAATACCACATTTATTTATAGTCTCAATATAATAATTATAAAAAAAAATATTTTGGAAACTACACGAGTTTCCTTGAGACTTTGGAGTACACAAAGCATCGATATTATGAGTCTGATGCATTTAGAAGTCGAGAGACTAGCTCATCTAGACCTTCCAATTATTTTGCACTGTCTAAAAATATTTTGACACGTGCTTTATATATTCTCATAAGAGAAATATATTTTTGAAATTAAAGACATATGTTTTAGTCTTTAATTCTCATATAACACATATTTATTCTTTACGAATAAAATAAATAAAAATAATTAAATGCATAAATTCATTAATAATATAGAGACCAAAGCCTTTTCAGACAAGAATTCAGGAGGCATCGCCTTCCATTAAGAATTCAA